CGGAAATGACTCATCACCGGTAGTGTACTGTAAATCACCTTTTCCGGGGATGGGTACGGCGTATTTGCTTTGGCGTTTTGCTTCGGCGGATTTGGAACTGGGGGGACATTTTTAGCATTGTATTCTGGCGAGCTCTCGAAGAGCAAGCCGTCTGACAAGACATGCGTCATCGCAACTGGTAGTGTGTTAATTGGTGGTCTGCGTAAACCCGTTCCGGAAGAAGGTCTCGCAAGTTCTGTGAGCCGGGAGACACGAGATGTGTCAATGAAGCGAAAAAAAACTGCGAACTTGTTAGCAGTTGGACTGGAAGTCATAGGCTCTACGTGGAGGTGACAAAAAAAGATAACGGTAGTCGCGGAACTTCTAACGACCTACAGCCGTGGGTATAGATTTGGCTAGATTCGCAGGCGATTCGGCAACTATCTACCCGACATCTAGTATTACTATTAGTAAATGTCCTCTTTAATTCCTACATGTAGAAAAAAATGGAATGGCAACTAAATTGTATCCAAGCCTCATGACTTTAATCAGTGCAGCAGCTTGTAATGAAAGGTGAATAGTTTTAGGGTCGCTCTCTTTTTGGCATTAAACAAGTGTCTTTGACACGTAGCTTTTGAAGAGACGCATCAAATCCTGAGCCGTCGACACCTCATGGCGTTCTGCTGCGTAGGAAGTCCGCTGGATGAAATGAAGCGGCTGGAGAAGTTGCGTGAGCGAGATCCGGAGTCTGCAGAAAACTTAGTTGCCAACGGGAAGTTGCTCGTCGACTTTGTGCGCAATGGGAATCTGCGAGCATTGCAGTGCGCAGCGGAGCATCTCGGGGAGGTACCGTACTGTAGAATCATTGCGAGGTATCCATCCTTACATCAGCGACTTATGAATCGTTCTTACTCGTTGGTGTCCAGGGTCAAATGCTGATCTTTTATGCCGTGCGGATGTTTCGAGAGGCCTGTGCGGGTAGAAGAATGGATATCCTGCAGTTCATGCTGCTACTGGTCCATGCCATGGCCGTGTAAAACACTTGGGGGACAGTTGAGACAGTGAGAACCCACTTGACGCCGATCTTGTGCACCAGTAACGGTAAGGCCCAAGCCCACACGTATCCTACGATGTTGTAGAGAAGGTCAGCACGTCCCCCGGCAACGCTCACGCCACGATTGTAAGCCTCCTGCTCAGCGCTGCATGGGTTACAGCTATCGGCATTTTCCGACACTCCGCCGTAGACTTGCAAGCCGAAGAGCTGACCCTTGTTGCCATTGTAGGCCGTGTAGCCGTACTGGACGAAGAAGAAGGCCACCCAGTAGATCGCAAGCGCTGTAGGGAGCGCGCGGATGCCGTGATATACGGAAGCGAACGCGTGCTTTCTTGACTCGAGCGCACGATGACTCGGCACCCACAGCACTTGGAGGCAGTGGCGTTTCCTTCGCGAAGATCACAGCGACACCCCACACAGATGAACATGGTCACAGATAACATGCCCATGAACCAGTGTAGCGTTTTGTATGCAGCCCCAAAGAACTCGATGTACCCGGCAATTAAAATCGCTCCTAGCGTAGCCCACGCCATGCCGAGAGCTGCCCCCGTTGTCTGTCGATCTCCTGCAAAATCAGCCACGAGAAGCATCGCGGGGGTCTGAACAATGTTGACGGTGATGTCCATCCAGAGGTAGAAGAACACTGTGAGAATTGATGTCCACGTGCGGTCAGTCTCCTCTCCGTCAGTAGGGCTGTGAAAATTAAAAAAATGTTAGATTAATCTTGGCCTGAAAACATCAAGAATGAATTATTAAGTTAATTGCCAGAATTGCGGCGGATTGTCTTCTTCTACAGTGTACACACTCCACAGTGAACGGTTGCAGTGCAGGAAGACTAGCGTCTCCAGATTGACGCGATCCATACTCTTCCTCACGTCACTAAATATAAGCTTTGCACGTGAAAAAAGTCTCTCGCACTCATTCGATGTAGGCGGTACGTACCCGACGTCGACATACGCACTCCGCTTCGTTGTCTTGAGCCTCTTGAGCGCTTGAGCTGCAAATGACGGACCTTCAGGGCTCTCTTCAGCTTGATCTTCATCAGGGCTGCTGGTAACACGAAACGCCGCACAGGCAGCTCGCTCAGGCGGCGTGAGAGATTGACCTCGCTGGATCTTGACCAGACCGGATTCGAGTGCAGGATAATTGACGATTGCGGCGGTTGGGGACAGTCGGAGTTTCATTTCCGGGTATTTGGAAATAGCGTGGTCGAAAAGGCGCCGAGCGGCGGATAGCGTCAAACTTGTACCTTGAAGAGTCTTAGTAACCTACTCGAAGTTGGTCAAATCAGCAAGTAGTGAAGTGACGCGAATGTTTTCCGAGCGTCTTAACAAAAGCGGCTCCAATTCCGAAGCAGCAACGGTTTCGTCATCTAGTGAGCGCAACACCGGTTCCAGTTTCGTGTAGCGTCGCAGCATCTCGTACGTACTTGACCAGCGTGTATCATTGCGCATAACAGGCGAAAGACTCGTGTGGGAGCGCAGCAGCGCTCTTCCCTTGATCGTACTCAGCTTCTTCATCAGGTTGTGGACTTTATCAATTAGTCCTTCGTCTTGCTTCATGAAGTCCTTCACTGCCAGTGCAAAACGATGGCTAGCGCACCTGATTAGCGGGATAGCTCCAACCCGACGGCCAATACACTGATTTACACTGCAATTGTCACCAACGATGAAGGCTACCGACTCCCATGGCTGCTTGTAGCGGCTCAAGGTGTCCGCGATCAAGTCAAAGAGACTTTGAGCGCTTACTCTCACGCTCATCCTCCATTGGGCTAAACGCCAGCAAAATATCAGGCGTGAGTGGCACTCCAGGTCATCTTGGTAGTCACTCTTTCGGGG